GTCCAGGCCCTATGGTGATTTATTTACTCAATTCGAAGGCAATCTTCATATTGATCAATAAATTTGCCATATGCATAAAGGTCACCTTAGTATAACACGGTAATTGGTGAGAAAGGCATCGGAGATGGAAATGAATAATTGAGGAAGATGACCGATCAAGGAAAATGTATTTTATGATCTGTGACCACAGACGTGATTATAATTTAAAAAATACACCTGAATCAAAGTTATCATAGAACGGCCCTCAGAATGTATTTGCCGATTGGGTCCTACAATCGTGAGAAATCAGAGTTGACCAAAGTTAAGTGTGTTTTGCTCAATGAAATTAGTTGCGAATAATTTAAAAATGATTTGCTCTCAAGGATTAATCCAACTATTTTTGTGTGTTTGTCTATGTGCATGTGAACGTTTTTTGACATCACCAATGTTATTATTACTATTATTATTATTATCATTATTGCAAATAATGCAATGGTAACGCGACGAAAGGAAACTAGCACCTCGTTGTTTATCTTCCAAACAAAAATTCAACTGCTTTACTATCGGCAGTTTGCTAACGCTGCAACATTTGACATAATTAACACGGTCGGCGCTTATGGGTTTCAACAAAAAACTTGAAAGAAAAAGGCGTACGGAAGAAGGTATCGTTTTTAAACGGTGTTTGTTATCCTGGGACTGGTAATGTATCTAACTCTCGTAAATAGAGTTCACTTTAAGTGGATATAGGGAACGATAAACAGTTATTTCTCTTGTCATATCACTGCTTGATTTATTTCATGGCTTGTGACGGCAAAACAATTTACCTTTTGTGTTAGATTTGAAATTTGTACTTATAGAAGTATCACATGTTATACTGAAACACTGAAGTTTTACGAGATATATCAAATGGTTTGACGATACGGGCACATCGTTTAAACCTCATCCGATCAACATGCGGTGCAGCGTGCGACCGAAACACCTCATTTCTTAATCCAGCTTTACAATATGAACATTTCTAGCAAATACTCTATTTCAACTTTCGTTGATCTCAGAATACTCCGATACTTTTGATTTGACTCGCTTACAGCGGTATGGTTAAAGTTTGCGCTTCGAGGCTAAAGGACTACAGGTCGTGGTCAAAACATTGGCGGTTTGGACTAAAGCTTGATAGGAAAAGGTGTAGACCGAGGGTTAATGTATTGAAAAATCAATCCAGTCGCTTGGAGCAAATCAATTCGGCTAACGAGAACGCAATCGCTATCGTAATTGGCTACCAGATTGTCCTGGATACTGCGAAAAATGAAGGTCACTATGACATAGCGATTGGGCTGTCGAACTCAAGCAAATGATCAAAATAGTATGTACAGGAACAACTCGTTGATCCAGAGTATAATAAACCAATATTTTTATTGCTCTTCGAGTTACGATGTCCCTGAATAAAGCGCAGCTAATTTGGTTAGTCCAAACCGTAGAATTCTTGACTGCACAAAACTAGACCACATACTCTCCTGACTGGTGTCTTCTCAGGTATGTGGATAGTCATAGCAAACTGAATACATTTTATTGGTCTCACCCAGCCTCATCTGCAACACGTCAACCGTGTGTTATATGAGACAGATTCTATGGATATTTAAAATGCCACCTAACATCCAGGTACCATCTCGGGTGGGTGTCTAAACAACAACAACAACAACAGAAAAACACTTTCTTGCCACTGGCTTTCCTACAAAGCTTTATGATGTAAACCGCTTCCAAAAAACAGTGTTGGGAGTGCGTAATCGTGTGAATCATGAAGTATATTGGTCTGTTTTACAACTCAACCGTCCCATGATTACGTCATTTTCACTGTCAGATGTTTTGTAAATGTGTAAGAAACATATGTAAACACAGGTCTGTCACAAAAGGAGAAAGGCGAACAAAGGAATTCGAGTATAAAAAGGTCTGTGAACCAACGAGGCCTGAGATTAAATATACTGAATTGAAGTGTGTTCACATTTGTGGTAAGTCATATACGTCATATAGATATTGATAAAACACTGTATATTGGGCAAAGTTTGCCTATGCACTTCGGCTTAGGATAGGACTTACTTTATGCTAAATTATTTATTTTACTGCTGTTTTCATCATTAAATTCAAAAGCGGTCACGAATGCAAAATTGGGCGGCAGTGGCACTTCAGCACAGATCTATCAATTGTTGTGTCCAACTTAATGACTGTTTCTCGGGAAAAGCGGGAATCACGATTGTTCTTATTTTAATATGAATTTTGACTCAAAATCCGAATGACTGTTGGGAGTGAGATCTGAATCTGTTTGCTATGTATTGTGAAGATATCCGGGAAATGAAAAACACTGGATTGATGAGATTATAACCACACAAATGTACAATCTGTGAGAAGGGATCGGGTGGTATCAACGGAATTACCGCTATTTTGTAAGAATTTTACGCACACAATTTTCTGCATAAGGCATTGACGGGTACAATAAACTGTTCTCCGAAGTTAATGGATGGTTGGATTCATTTTGTGTGACGGATTTGTCATCTAACGGAGGCGTGAGCTGAAAAGCACTGGACAGTTGTTTCAACCTGGTTGGGTCACATGAGCAATGAGCGAATCCATTGACCCAACTTGGGATCAAACGACAGCTTGCTCAACTGACCCAATACGACGATGTACATAATTCACTTTTGGCGCTGGCTCTCTCAGACCTGTGAAGCGAATTTGCTTTGCATGCTGCGCCTCAAAATAGACGTTGGTTTGAACTGGACGATCAACAGTCCGACCGTCATTTGGGCAAGCCCATGGTTTCAGGAGTGCTTTGTTGTAATTCACATATTACTGTCATTGTAGTAACACGATAACTTAAATTAGTATAGGGATAATTAGCACAAGTGGATGGAAAGTAAAACAGATACGAAATTGACTACTAGGCCCAGACAGTTCAAAATCGGAAACAACGTCGCAGTAAAAAAGGAACAAAATATTTCTGTGGTGTACTTCATTGTAGACTGCCACTGCTCAATTCTTCAGTGAATCACACTACGATCTTTGCTATTAATTTCCAGAATTTGGATTAGGATCATTTAGAATTCTCATGGGAGTATTTGGATTTATTTAAATTTTCCAACGGTGAAACTTTACAAACAGTGAAAATAGCTATATAGCTAACATTCTTGTTTGAAGAAATTTTAGTATGTTACGTCACCATTCGATCTGGAGAAGATGCAGAATACATTTTAGGCATATTTCAAATGATTATACACTTTGAAATTAATGCACAGCTTTGAGGTCGGATTTTTGTGATAATATGTAGAGAACACTGATAGTGACAAACACTTTATCGAAATAAAATTAGTTCAAAGAACTGTGAATGTTTTTGATGTGGTTGATGAGAGTGAAGAGAAACGTGGAGATCGCTGCGTGCCGTTGTTACCCGTATGCGACAATTGATTCAGTTGTAAATTGAATGTGTCCCAAAACAAGCAACAGCCGAACTTTTGAAATTGGTTTGATTTAATATTTTTCTTTGAAATTCAAGCCGTTTTCTGTCCCCTCCAAACTTAAATCACTCTGATATGATATTTTAAAGTACAAAATTACGAATTTAAACACAAAATAAATACTTACCTTCACTGAGATATAGTATTTGTTCCAGAAGGAAACAACCGCTTGGTGACCGTAATTCAGTCTGGCGTTTGCTCTCACACACAACTGTGAACCTCATTCGAGTTACATGCTGTGCCTCCTAAAAATAATTGGTTTTGAACCCTGTGATCACTAGTCCGACTGTCAGTTGGAAGGCCCTTTTGTTTGAACGATGCTTCGCTGTACATCACATGTTACCGTTCGTGTAGTAACATGACAAATTAAATCATTATCGGAATAATTAATTTGAAAAAGAGATAAATAGTGTTTCGTTTCCGTCGATCCTTCTCACCGCATCGCGATAACCTTTTCAAATGATCCACTAATTCGAGGAGGCTCTGTGATAAAATTTAAGGAACTCCGGAAGAAATAATCACTTAATCGAAATAAAATCAGCTAGCAGGATTGCACGGTATTTTTGGTGTTGGCGATGCGAGTGAAGGGAAACGCGGAGATCACTGTGTATGATTGTCAACCACGTGGGACAGCTGTTTTCGGTTGTCATTTGAATGAGTCCCACATTAAGCAACTGAAATGAAAGCATGATTTGAGAATGTTTGTCGTGTTAACCTCAAGTAGGAGGCCCTATGGCAGCTACTCTATTCAGATTGACTGTGGATCAATTAGTCCCACCTGTAGATGTGCACAGTTGTCTGTTAAGTTTAAAAAACGTCCAATGAAATCCAAATGAGACAGCGTTCTAGCGGCGTAGATAAATCAAAATCAAAATAAACATTCATGAAAATTTAGAAAACAGATTACGTAATCAAGAACCGCTGATTCGGATCGAACGATATACTCATCCGTGAATAGTTGACTGTGCTGATCGATGAGTACGAGCAAAACCCTCGAAACGTGGTCCATTCTGATTGAAAAACAGACGTGCGATTATTGTCGTAAGGTGTTTTGAGATTACCATCTCCGTCAGAACCGCCAATTTGGGTAGCTACTTTGTGATTGCACGTGTGGCTCTTCATCTCCGCTACACACATTTCAGTCGTTATTCATCAACACGAGATTGTACGAAATAATTTAAATTAGCCAGTTTATTTCGTTTCCAACTATGCTGATATGTAGATATTGACTGACTATCTACAGGAATTCACCTTCACGTACAATCCTCAGTTCATTCAGTCAACGCCACACTCGGAGGAACCAGAGTCGGGGTTCTTTCTTATCATAGTGGTTATCAATAGTGCAGATCTACCGTGTGCTTGGGGTTTTGAAATCCGGAAATATTGCACGGACAGCATGTTTTACCACTGTGCCGACAAGCTCTTTCTACTTGTCACTTTCTCATTGCATGTTTATTGTAAAAATAACATATTGAGATCAAATATTTTTCTTCCTGTCTTTCTGATTACAGTCCCGCGAAGATGCATCGATCATTGATTCTCTTCCTTGTATTACTCGTCTGTATCGCGGCTCTATCGGTATCGGCGGATGGTACGTTTATTAGGACACGGTTGTGTGTGTATCGATTGAATCCGCATAGACTGAAATATGTTTTTATTCTCTAATAGTCCTTTTGTTTTTGAAGAAGTCCTATATACCAGGGATTCCCAATACTGGCGACCATTCTGTTTAAGTTTTGGAAGGAGTGAGAATACCGGGCAAAACGACTCGAGCGCTCATTGTTAAGCAACCATTGAAGCTAAATTTGTGTGCACCTCTGGAGTGGTCAGTTTGGGAGGGAACTCCAGACTGGTGCGAATCAAAATCGGAAAAAGAATACGGGTTTGTAAGAAACTTGCCAAATAGATGAGTTGTGTTAGGTTCGAGATATTTATTGCGTTTGACCTGAGACAGGGTTTTTGTAAACATTTATTTTTATCAGAAAGAAATTCATTACTAATTGAGTGAAAATTGATTGTCTGATATAAATTTGGATTTGTTTCTAATTATGGATTTCGGGTGTGAAGTTCGGTGCAAATGAACTTATTAGCCATAAGATTTGAAGTACGCATTTTTCCCTGCTGTCGTCACCAAAACGAGATCACTTCTATGAGTTCATTACAAATTTACTGTTTTCTTTTCACTGGAAAACTGTATAAGCGGTGGTTAAAAAAGCCTCATCCGTGAACGAGTAAAATTCACATGCCAATTTATTTGTTGCTGACTTGCATTTTATTAGATGGTTCTAAACTTCATTCGGTCATTCAGGAGACCGCTTTCAAATGCAAACGCAGTTCAGTAAATGCTAACATCACCGATTTTCCAACTAGACGATGTCTTATCTGAGGATTAGAAAGACTTCATTTGCGATTAAATTTTATCCCAAGATCAAGTAACAGTTGATATCCATGTACACTTAATTCCAGTATTCCAAACAGCAAATTTCCACACAACCGAATCAGTACAGCAAACGAGCCAATTGATAATCACGAACCCAGACAGATGATCCGGTTAATCAGTCATCTGATGACGATAGATTCACTTATGCCTCATGATGAAAAACGTGCGATTTCCGACAGGTCCAAGTGCACACTGCACAAGTAAGGACAAATCTCTCAAACTGAATATGCATCAGAAAACATCAATAAAATCAATCGTAAAAACAGACAATTATTGAGCTACCAAATTCATCATGTGCAAGGTTAACTTAAATAGGGAAAAAAGAAAACATGAACATGCTTTTCATAAGTAGAGGAGGAATGGTCTCACACTCACTAGTACAGAAATAAAGTATCAAAGATAAAAATTATGAGGAAAAAACAATCGTCAAGACAATACAGAAGAAAGAACATTACTGAAATTGCAAGTTATTTCTCTTCAGATGGACAGTTCGGAGGCACCGAATGGGAACCGGAAGTAAGAACAGTGCTGCAAACAAATGCACAGACCGAGAAACCACTCAAACTGCAAACCACCGAATGGGAACCGGAAGTAAGAACAGTGCTGCAAACAAATGCACAGACCGAGAAACCACTCAAACTGCAAACCACCGAATGGGAACCGGAAGTAAGAACAGTGCTGCAAACAAATGCACAGACCGAGAAACCACTCAAACTGCAAACCACCGAATGGGAACCGGAAGTAAGAACAGTGCTGCAAACAAATGCACAGACCGAGAAACCACTCAAACTGCAAACCACCGAATGGGAACCGGAAGTAAGAACAGTGCTGCAAACAAATGCACAGACCGAGAAACCACTCAAACTGCAAACCACCGAATGGGAACCGGAAGTAAGAACAGTGCTGCAA